AAATCCACAGAGGTCTCTGAACTTACTCTTCCAGAATAAAGCAACTAAGTTCCCACTGTTTTGAAAATCTTATCACGGTTCTTGGAATAGCTGCTGAAGTCTGTCCCTAGAGTCGAGGCGAAGGATCCTTGCTCTTATAATTCCTTAGACTCCGGAAGTACCTGTGTTCCTGTCTCAAGCAAGTTCCTTTGTTCTGGTGGCGCACACATGGAGACATGCCACCAACCAGTATTAAAGTGTACCCCACTTCTGTCTCTGGGCCCTTGGCACTACTGCCCTACACCATAACTTCTCTTTTTACTTCAATTCCAGTTGCCACAGAGATGGAGGAGAAAATGCAAGAAACTAAAGGGAACCACAGTTAACAGAGCCTTCCTGTTTCAGTTGCCAGAGATAAGCTGCAGGGCCCGCATCAGGCTCTCTGTGTTTCTGACAGGGGCTTAAGGGCTTATGGATCCACAAGGAAGAGGATTTGTACATAAGTATCAGACATCCTAATGCTCTGCTGGTGATATCATTCACTCTTTTATCTCAGACATTGTCCTTCTCCTGATCATTTGTCCTCTGGATCGTGACAAAGCATCTGCAAGAAATTAACAGGCATGCAAGCCTGGATGAGCAGAATTGATTTGCCTGTAATCTGTTTGTGAAGAGATCAGGACGTGGTTGAAGTGATTTTAATTTCAGAGCCGAAGTTGCTAGTCTGTCTTTTTGTCAGGCAATTAGTTCCACTGGCTGGGCATGAATGCTATGACTCAAAGTGCTGAGGGGACCAGGCATGGATGCTGCAGGAGCGTGCTCTGCTTCTTCCAAGTTTGCCCATGCCAGCCTTCTTTTGTCTCTGGTTTATTTTGGCAAAATTCTCTGCTCAGCACCAGGTTCTGCAGCTTTGTGAGGGCATCATGCCATGAGCCCAACAGTCAAAGGACAGGCTTGGGAGCCAAGCTGTGTGCCCAAGGACCTAGAGGGAGGCAGACAAGCCCTAGCAGGATCATTGCTTTGGACTCTGGCATTCTCTTAAGATCTCAACATGTTATTTTAATTTTCAGTAATCTTAGGTGACGGTACCATCTTACTTTGCTGACCTTGAAGGCAATGGCCAGGGCGAGTCTACCATTTATCAGAATCATCTCTGGAAGAAGTGCATGTTATGTTCTCACATGGGCACTCTTATCCCTGAACTATACTAGCTGCTCAGTCACCCACAGAAGCCATTGCCTTCTGGAACTCTAGAAATGAATGATGTGTCATAAAGAGAACCCAGCAAGGCGCTTTGGACTGCTGAGCGGGGCTAGTCTTACTTCCTCCAGTGTCTTCCAAGATCCAGCTGCAGCTGGCTTGTTAAGGCACAACACAAACACAATCCTATTTGCTCCATGACTGAAGATACAGCATCCTCTTTGACTCTCATGATGACCATGAGGGGCAACAAGGAAAGGTGTTGCCCTTCCCTTTAAGTGCCTGAATTAAAGGGGAGCCCTATCACCCTAAGGGTGCTCTAAATAAAGTTTGAAGCTATTGCTTTGTCAGTGTGACAGCTTACCTGCAAAGGTAGCAAGCACTTACAACCCAGCCAATTCCCTGCACACCTATGGATCCACATCTGTTTTCTACAAGACAGACTAGTTCTAAGATTATAGTCATCTCCAACCTACAGTGCTGTCCTAGAGTCAAACGGAGACCAGCTGGTAACAATCACTTTTAAAAACCAATTTCAAGTAACAATAATGTTTGAGTGAGTCAACGAGTGAATAACACAATGGAAATATTTTCTTCAAGTAGGCTGAGTTAGTTCTGGTGTCCACATTGACTGAGTTAGTTTTAAGAGTCTGCTGAATATTGAATGAGTACTTTCTATAGTAGTGGATACCATCTCTCAAAATGAACCGTGCTAAAGGGCAAAGCAACTCATTTCGAGAAAAGTTGTCAAAATGCAATTTTATATGTCATGTAAATTATACAAGCTTAGTGAGTTGGGCAGTGATTACTACAATTTAACAGTAATTTAATGAGGCAAGAAGAATGTTTGCATCAATATTGCATTTAAATAGCCCAAAGTGACTGTGTGTAGATAACAAACTAATTCAATTTGCTAATAACATTACATCTCCTTTGCACTATTTTTCATGAAACTTAAAACGTCCTGGAGCTTGAAATGTTTGCCATCTTATTTAAAATTATGTCATTTAGCTATGTTAGGACACTGACAGGGCCTCTTCCAAAAGGAACAGAAAAATCAAAGATTTGTTGCATCAAAGTTTTTATTATGATGCCCAGCCAGCAAGGCACTCTGAATTCCTCTCTCTTGACTGGTGATTGGCTCACTTACATTTTTAGGAAACTTGGATTTGGGGGAGGGGCAGTGACCATGAATGCTTGACTTACTGTCATAAATTTCCCATGAAGCACAGAGTATCTTAAATGCTAGAGGCCAGAACCAGTCTCTCAGGGTCTAAATCTCTTTTTAAGAGTTCAGCAGGCTTGCACAGATAAAGGAGCCTGTGCTGCACTTGCCATCTTCCAGCCCCTAACTTAACCAATCTCATGTGTGGTACTGTCTGTCCCCCACTAAGACTGACCTCACACAGTTCAGGCATGAGGACATCCATCACAGAGCTGAGCATGATTCTCCTATGGGATGTCTGTAAGTACTATAACTTGGGAACACAACCATGACTGCCACACAGCCCTGTTCTCAAAAGCTCCTGGTCTGCTGGAAACTCAGAACAGTAGGCTGGCAATTACCATAGGCAGGGCTAGCATTTGGATAAGTGTATCCCAATGGTTGATGGTCTCCAGGTTGTGGTGCTATTGAGAGGTAGTGAAACCATAGGAGATGGGACAAGTTGGAGGAAATGGGGTATGACTTTGAAGAAATTTTGGAGATCTCGACTCTTTCTCTCTATTTTCCAGCCATCATGAGGTGAGCAGTCTCTTCCACCATGTGCTTCTCCTACCAGAGGTCCAAAACAACACGGCCAAATGTCTGTGGACTGAGACCTCTGGAGCAAGCCCAAATAAACCATTCTTACTTGTAAGTTAATTCTGCCAGATATTTTGTCACCACTAAACAGAGCTGACTAACACAGAGGGCGCAGTCAGTACTTTCTTGGGGCTAAGTAAACTGCATTGTTTAGATTGGGAGATAAGAAAAGTCTCCTTAGGAAAATAGCTGTAGGTAATATAAGGAATTATAAATAAGGTAGCATTCAGGCACTGAGAAAGAGAGAAAGAAAAGAGTGTGACAAAAGTAGCATAGCTTAACTGAATAATCATAAGAGGCATAGTCTCATTGGAGTGTCAAGTGTCCAGGGGAACTATAGGGCAGTGGGGCAGAAGTAGGCTCTCTGCTTATATTCTAGTATGGTAACTGAGTGGCAAATGCATGATAAATGGATGAAGTGGGAAATACAGTTTCTCCATTCAAGGTTCTTAATAGCCACTCACAGCTATTGTCTTGGACAGCATGATGGACTACATAATCCTTGCATAAATAGAGACTATATAGACAGATCAGACACTGTTTATCATCATGGAATATCCTACTAGTATGGAAGATGTAGCTAACATCCATAAGCACAGGAAGTTCTAGTGGCAATTACTGTAATCTAAACTGGCTGTGGCCAGTTAATAATGAACTTTGGAGGACATATCTGGGTATTTGGGTTTGATTTTGTGGACAATAAGATGTCACTGAAGTATTTCATGTAGAGGAGATAGAATCAAATTTATACTAGAAAGTCACTTTACAAAGATTACAGAGAGGCAAGGCTACAAGTTAGGTATCAGTGAAGAGGCAGACATGGAGGCTGATACCTGGCTTGGGTAGCTAGTAAAGAATGATGTTATTAACTTAGGAAAGAGAGAGGGCTAAGTCTGGAAAGAGTGATAGACTTAACTTTGCTTTTGCTGCTTTGCGGTATCCAAATGAGCTGATGAAGACATTCTAATATAAGATCTAAAGCTCAAAGTGCAAACATGGCTTGCCTAAAATAAATTTTTTAAGTCACCAACATGTTGGAAACATTTGAAGCCATGGGAACAGTTGAGTCCCTGAGAGAAAGTGTGGAGAGAGATGCTGCCACAGTTAAGACATGTGACCAGAGAACCTTGGTAGCAATGGAACCAGCCTAGGAGGAGGAAGGCAGGAGAACCATAAGAAGGTGGTGGGTTCAAAAATTGAGACTATTTTAGCAGGTCAGGGGATAGGATCAGCATAATGGCTGCTTTTGAAAAAGTAAAGAGTTGAAATTGTCAATACGATTTTGTTAGAGAGAGGCCATTAGCGACTTGATAGAAGGCAACTCTAGAGCAATGGTGGGGACAGAAGGTGAAGGGTAGTGGGGTAAGGAGAGGATAGGAGTACCAAGTTGAAACGAAAAGTATAGGAAGTTCTCTCAGTGAACTTGGTGGTGAGGGACTGCAGAGACGTGTAAGGTCTCCAGACCACTTCACTAGTGTGTGATGTCTCTAATCAGAGTGTTGCTTGAAACATGTTGAGAGTTCAGCTGGGGTTTTCCTGTCTTTACAATCCTCACCATTCCCAGTGTAGATGAACTCTGTTGGTATTTGTTTAATGACTCTCCAGCTTTCAGATTTCAAGGCTGAAGTAAATGTAAAATATATATCATGTTCATAGGTTTTCCTATTTGACAATTAGTTCTTAATGAAAAGGTCTATGTTACACTAAAAAAAAAAAAACTATGAAAAGTCTGTCATTTAACCAAATCTCATATTTTATGAACCTGTGTGAATTGTGGAGAGTCTGCCTTCTGAATATGATTAATAAAACAAGGAAAATACATTTTAATAAAAAATTTATTATGATTATTTACATCAGTTCCTTGGTATGCATATAAATGTAAACTTTTATTGTTGGCAATATTTCACATATGGTTTATTCAAATTCAGAGTTGATACTGTCATTTGAGTGTACAGGTAGTGAGAAAATTTTATATTCACAGAATATACACACATGTGCATCCAAACATTAATTCCTTTTAAGCCAGTGGTATAGACACTGTCCCGTTGACCCTGCTTCTGCTCCGCAGGTGCACGCTGACATCTGCCAGGTCCTCCACATGCTCCTCGCTCTTCTTCTCCTTCAGGCTGTTGATAAATCTCAGAGTGATTTCATCCCACTCCTCCGGCAGCAGCATCAGAAGAAACCCAATACAGATAATGATGGTGGCAGCCAGGCGGACCACATTGAATATCACCTCCTGCTTCAGGAGATCCACAGCTAGGGAAGGAAAATGTCACACCAGTCACACCCTATGATTGTTTATAAGCTTCTCTGAAAACCAAGGACCAAACCCAGGGCTTTATCTCAAGACTTCCAAACATCATAATTATTCTCCATCACTGTCTATGCTTACTTCCTGTTCCTTCTCAGTAAACCATACTTGCTCAAAGCTCAGCTCAGAGTCCATGCAACTGGGCTTAGGAATTTCTCCAATTTCCTCTCCAAGCCCTTTTCCAGGGCAGGCATGCTTTCACCTTTCTTTCACTGCACTGGACCGCTGTTGTGTTTTGCTTGCTTGCTTGTTTGTTCTGTTGGTGTCTTGGTTTTTATATGTGCTGTCCTTTTTCAGAGTTTAATTGAGGTGAAATTTATATAAGCCTAAAATTAACTTTATAAAGTGAATTTAGTATACTCACAAAGTTGTCTGACCAATTCCCCCTATGCTCGTATTCCACTTCATTCTGCTAACTATTTGTTAGACCTCTGTACAAAGGACTCCCCGTAAGAACCCTTTTAAAGAATGCCACACCAATGTGTGCTCTGTGTGAGCATCTATCAGAGCAATGCTTCCTTGTGCTAGAATTACTCAGTTCCTCTGGTTTCCCACTCTGTGTTTCTTTCATGGTATTGGGGGTGGAAACCATTCCTTATTCAGGATCTGTCACCAGTATCAGCATAGCTCTTGACATATGCTAAGCCATCAGAAGTTATTTGTTGAAAAAAATGAATCCATGGATGAATAAATAACTTCCCGACAACTCTACTTCTGATTTTTGTTTTCCTCTGAATATCTTATAGCCCTTGGAATCTATCTCACACAATTTTATACTTAATAAATTACTTTGTAGAGGTCCTAGCTGTTTTGTGTATGTCTACTGCCTTTTCCAAATTGATCTGTAAGTTTGTCAGGGGAATAGCAATGTAATTTCCTTTCTTTTCTTGTACACAGCCTTGATCACATAGTAAATGTTTAATAAACACTGGCTAATTGTTTTGAAGAAAAGAAACATGGTTACTAGAGACTTGGGGTCACAGAATCTTAAAGTAAAAAAAATGACTGAACCGTTACCCCAGAGAACTAATTTCCATGACTAGTTTCAATGGCAGGTTTCACTAGAAACTTCCTAGAAAAAAATAGCTTTTCCTCTTGTCCTTGAAATCAGACAAATTGCTTTTCCTGGAGGGCCACCTGCTCAACCCTCCACAGAAGCCTTCCCAGCTCCCCAAGGACCGTCTGACGGGGAGCCAACACCCTGTGCATGGCTTGCCCTTTCATTAGTGATGTTGACTTCACAGTCCTGTGCAGAGAAGCCTTTTGTTTCCATAGGACTCCCTCTAAAAATAACACAAAATTAGGTTGTCAGGGAGATTACATGAAACCCAAATGATACATTTGGTATTTAATTCTAAAATCACGACCAAGTAAAACAGTGCCTTTGTAGCTGCAGACTTAAAATCTGATGTGTACTCTGTTGTCTTCCACCTCATGGTATTTAAAAAACATCTTCCAAGGGAAGGGGCATAATTCTCAATCATCAGAAGAAACAAGTCAGAGCATAAGCAAACACATGGTCACTTTGTACCAGTACCTGCGTTTCCAGGGACACTGAGAACTGTCCCGATGGAGATGAGGATTGGGTATGTCAGCAAGACTCCAACATTCACCAGGATATTGAATGCTGTAAAATAAGGAAGGTATACAGGATGAAGGGGCAGCAAATCGGTCTCTCAGCATACAAGAACCAACACCTGTGCTTTCCCAAGGATCTGTCTCCCTTGTTCAATTAATTTTCTCATTTTGTCATTGCAGCATGAATCGCTTGCTCAAATTGGTCAAGTTCTTTTGTCCTTTGTCCTCTCTGAGCTCTTGCCAGCTGGCTGACAGTGGAGTACGAAAGAGGTGAAGTCATCAACCTTCCACACCACATGTGAGTGCTGGAAGGACAGTCTGTGGCTAGCTAGAGGCTAAAAGCAGGTGACAGATTAAGCTTTGAAGTGTCATTCTTTGTTACTTTGCTATTTGAGCCATAATCCAGGGCAATTTATAGGCTCTGGTGCTACTGTCTCAGTTAAAGTTTGTCTAAGGACAGTAGATCCTGTGTCCCCCCCCCCTTTTCTCTCAAGCTCATGTGGACAAACCAAGATGAGCTCAATGTTATTCTCTGTAGCCTGGGGATGATTTTCCCACCCTGTTTGTGCATAGAAGTCAACAGAGGTCAGATCCACAGAATAAACGATAGAGAAAGCTGAGGCTCTTTAATTAATACTGTGGACTTCTTTAGCTAAAAGACCATTATTTAAAATAATCATCTAACCCCATTGGAGATTATCAAAATTACACCTTTCCAAGATTTATAAGTTATAGACTATTATTTTAATCTAGTTAAATTAAACTTTTCAGAGGTTGTAGAGATGAGTATTCACAAGTACAAAGGTTCTTTAATATGAGATGATCTCTATGAACACAGTTGAAGCATGTTGCCTATATTTCTGAAGATTCTAGACTCAAACTATTTCAGGGAAGATGTTGTTTGTTTTTCTGCTGTCATCTATAATTAAGCTCACTAATTTAGCAATCTGGAGCCATTTGTGGCTGGAGATGAGAGGCAGCGTGTTTGACCCTCTAAGACTCACAAGCATACAGCAATGGCAGTAAAGATTCAGGTCCTTCCTAGGTTTGCATGTGTCCCTTTGTCATGGCAAAGTTCAATGTGAATACATATTCCAGCACCTCAAGTCTTTCCTTAATCTTATGGAGTCAATACAGAAATTTCTAACAAGTTAGAAATTTACTAAATGCATCAAAACTCTGCTGAATTCATTGTCTTTTTTTGACTGAACTGGATTTTGGCAGTCTGAGTGAATGCAATGGTGTTTCAGAACTGAGCCCTCAGCTTCCATGAAATGTGTTGTGTGTTTTTCTGATGGGGGAGGTCCTTCTGTGTATGTTTATCTTATTGGTTGTTGAATAAAGCACTGCTCGGCCAATGAGGCAGAAAGATAGGTGGGACTAGGAGTCAAGGAAGATTCTGGGAAATGTAGGAAAAAGAAATCTTGTGATACAGGCAGGAAGTGACATAGCAGGAAGACATATATAAGCAGGGACAAACAGGAAGTCACTCTTTTGCTCTTCCTCCTGCTCTCTGCTCTGGAGCTGCCATGTGATCCACTGGCAAGAGAGGGCGCTTACCACTGGAGTCCTCCATTAGATAAGTCTTATGATTATAGTTGATAATTAAGACTGAGCTAGCGGATTAGAAATCCCAGTCATTGGCCAAGCAGCATTTGAAACTAATATAAATCTCTGTGTGTTATTTGGGGCCCTAACACCGAGGGCAGAACTCTGGCGGCTGGTGGAAAGCACCCACATGGCAGGGCACAACTCGGGCGGCCAGCAGAAAGACTTATCACAACATTTTTCCTTAGTTCTTTGAGTGGGATAGTCTTCCTTGATAACTCAAGGAAAAGAATATCCAATCCAATGTGTTCTCCGTTGTGAGGGGTCCAGCCCCAGTTTAAATGCAATTCAGATATGTCAGATGAATGTCTGAGGCTGCATTCAGACTTAGGTAACTCCCAGCATGCCACAGCCACAGCTGCAGGAGATGTGAGAGTTTAGAGCACACACTGGTAGCTCAGCTTTGGCTCTCAGACTAGACCCAGCTAGATAATGTGTGATTCCCAAGGAGAAGAGAGGCATGGAAATAAAAACACTGGAAGCAAAGCACTGAGGACTCTAAAACCCCAGAGTACATAATATAGGAGAGAGGCTGTCTCTTCAATTTGTCACAGTTCTGCTTTGGCATAATGAGCTCTGCTGTGCACTGGTGGGCCTAACGGAGCAGCTGCAGTGCCAGTTGGTGCCATGCCTGGCCTGGACACATGCTGCTTAGAGAATCCAGGGTCTGACTGCCACAGGTGGCCCAGCCAGAGAAGGCTTAACACACTAAATGTGCCAGTGACTCTCACTGGTGGAGGGCGATTTTGCAGAAGGCACAAATTCCATGTGTACAGAGGTGGCTAAAAATAAGTGACATTTTGATTGCGATTGTCCCCGGCTACACTATTTCTGGCCAGGAAATAATCTGAGCACTTTTAATTAGGATACTTTGATCTTATGGAAACAGAATCAACTTTCAAATATGTTATTGATTTTCACTCAACTTAGAGGTAATGAGAGATGATAACCATACAGCTTTGGCCTTGGAAAGCATAACTCCAGGGACCAACAGTTAATGCTTGATCCTTCTCTTGAATGTTTTCAGTTTAAGACCTTCCCTGAGGGATCCAGGCTAGAGTAGGAAAAGGATGATCTTGCTGGAGTCAGGACATTTTTCTCTTGGAACTGCAGTGCTGCCACCATTTCCAGTATCACCCTGGCTTAGAAGGTCATTGGAGGCCCTGCAGGATGAGTGTGGTGGGTAAATGTGGAGTGACAGAGTGGTTGACCTTGGGTAGTATGTAGGAGCAGAATGAAGCTGACTTTATTCAGAGTAAGCACTGGGGCATTGGGATACACCGTTTTCAATGGCTTGAGAAAAGGAGCAGGATCTTTAGATCATAGACTCCTCTCCATCAGGTACTGGTAGGTGGATAGCTTCAAAGTGGGAGCCTGGAGCGCAGTGAGGCACAGCCCCAGAGCTCCAGGTGCCATGAAAAAGACTCCAGGTGATCCTAATTTTGCCCTCAATAGGGCACAGTCTACTTAGAGAAGGCCAAGCTCAGCGCATGTTGTGTTCTTTTCTCTCCTGGTAAGGGATTCCTGGTGCAAATCTGTTCTCATCGGAGTGAGTGGTTTCATATGCAGATGTGAACTTGCCACTTTTAGCTCCAAGATGAAGTGGAATTTTAAACCCAGCTCCCTCATTAAGGCTTTCCAGTTTCTTCATGATCTGCTTTTCTCTTGAATGTCTTCCCCTCCTGTCCTGCCCCCTCCTCTCTCCCCCTCTCTCTCTCCCCTCTCCTCTTCTTCCCTCCTCTTCCCTCTCATCTGAACCCTATGCTCTGGCTACTTTGAACATTTTGACTGCATCATCCATTCTCACTTCTGTCTATCATACCACACACACAGGAAGCATAGTAAGTCACACACCACATCATGAAGACTAGATGAGGCTACCAGAAGGTCAGTGGTAGATAGAGTGACCTGGGCTTCCAACTGGTTACTTTAATCCATGGCAGCCACACTGTGGATAGCCCTGAGATAATCAGGGAAGAGTCTACCAAGAATCTTGTACATATTTAACATCTGTAATCTGGGTAACCTGGGTCATGGAGCACAAGAACAGCCAAGACAATGACCCTGCCATGACCATCTTTCTGTTCAAAAGAAAGACCAAGTGACACAGAGAATAGCAGGCATAGGCTAGGGTCACTTACCAAGCCATAACCCTGCCATCCCACAGAGACAGCCCCAGGGCAGAGCTGCGAAGGAGGACCAGTGCTCCACCTTGGTGAAATACAGGATGATGGGGGTGAAGGAGATAAAGATCAAGTTGAAGAAAGCCAAGGTGGAGACAAAGTGTGCGGCTTCACCAAAATTGGCACTTCCAAGAAACATCTTAAACAGGACCTGGAAAGGAGAGAAACTCTTCAGCCGCACATTAAGCTTACTGGCCCAGAGGCTAGTCTCCATGTCTTCTTGCCCTAACACTTCCAAATTGTTAAGTGGGCTAGGATGACATGGTATTAAAATTCCCTATTTTGTTCACACAACACAGTGACTGTCATGAAGTGAATTTCTTAAAGTATTATAAGTTTCTGGGAGTACTCAACAGTATGGAAACAAAACCTCCAAGATGGGCATAGGGTGAAGGATAAATGAAGGTTGTATGAGCCATAAAAATCATGTGGTGTTGAGATGCCATCAATTCTTCCTTGCATCTTTGGGATTTATTGCATCGTTATTATGACAGATGCTGAAAACTAAGTGGTCAGACAGTCTGTTATTAGGTGTTAAGAGAAATCTAGGCCTAGGTTCATAAGCACGATCCTTCCTGAGCTTAGGATGTCCTCACCAACATTGTGATGCTCTCTGGATTAAAAACAACTTCTTTTTCTGGATTATAAGCCCATGTGTACAGGCAGATAACAAGTAGAAGTGGAGGTCTAATGTGAACTCACAGAACAGAAGGAGAAAGCCAGATCTGAAGTCTGTATTCTTAGCTTCTTAACCTGTTTCTCCCCTTGTTAATTCACTCACACATATTATTAAATGGAGCAGATTGTGTCTGCCTAGAATTAGGGTTCAGATATGATTTTGTGTCCATAAACAACTGTTAACCACTCTGAGAACCAATGCATTCTGTAATCTGGCCAGGAGAATTCTGTCTATATAATAGTCATCCTGCTTTCCCAGCCATTTCCAGTACAGTTTGGATTTTTAACTTCATAAATGTATTAGTTTTTCTCTTAGAAGACTTAGAACAATTTTAGTGAAGTTTCCATGTGAGAACAGATTAGACACAAATGGTAAATGAATGAACACTTGTCAACATTTGTCACAATCAATGGGCCCCAAAATATGTTGATGTTCACAGGCACAGTGGTGGTGAATAAGCATGCCTCCAGGAGGAAAGGCAGAAGGCTGTTTCTATCTTCCAGAGAGTTTATTTCATCTACAATTTTCATTTTATTGAAACTCTAGGAGAGGTGAAATTGGAATTGCCCTTTAGATCCACTCAGAAAGTTGGCTTTTATAGAAGTTGAGCTTTGGGAGAATAACCTTTTGGATTTGCAGTCTGAGACCTTGCTTCTGAAGTTAGGTGCAGTGACTCTGGTGACATTTTCCTAGGTGACAGAGAATCCAGGGGAGGAAGTACACAAAGTCCATACAGCAGAGCACAGAGTGTCTGCATTTTGCTAATGGCATGGGTTCCTCATAATGTGGGCTCCCTATGTAGCAAAGAGCACACTCTCAAATGACAGCTTATTATTTGTAATACCTCCAAGGAATTAACATAGTTGCCATATACTCACATGAAAAACATAGAGAGGGAAGGAGTTGCTTTCCTTACATTCTTGCTTTAACTGCCTGATTGGGGTGGGGAGGGGTGGCATTGTTGACTCCAATCCAGGGTTGTAACCTTTAGCTACCTCACTATGGCCTTGGAGAGTTAATCTTTCAAAGCTTCGGTTCTTTCATCCAGTAAGTAGAATAAGGATCTATGGCATGTAAGGACATGTCAACAGAGGTGAAATTTCCTGTCAGATCCCCACCATACAAGTATTGACAAAAACGTTACTTACTACTATTTAACACACCTGCATTTTCTAAGGTTTTCATTGCAATTCCTTATTTTGTTGCTTAATCCTCAACTATGAGTGGCAGGTGACTATAGAGGAAGACATGGACATACCTTATATAATGCAGACGTAGAGGCTGAGCCCACTGCAAACGCCACACCTATGATGGAATCAGCATGGAAATTGTCTGCATATGCCATCATGACAATGCCGGTAATTGCCATTATTGCGGCAACTATCTGTCAAACAGAATGGAAAGAAATAGAAAAAGAAAAATTATGCTTTCATATCCCAGATCAAGCTATTTAAGCCCCAAGAAAGCTTCGAAGTATGTCTTTAAGGCTAATTACCTCCTCTTTCATCAGTGTTTACATTTAAGAAGGGTCAGTATCAAAGAGACCAGTCTGCTCATGCCATGGGCATAGATTATAAAAAGCTGTGCTGATTAAGGGTGAGAAACTTTGAATTTGTATAGCTCATCTTCCTTGAGATTAATATCCTTGTTGGTGAAATGGATTTAACAGGAAGTCACATCTAAGTGTTTTCATCTCTACTAAGTTCTTCAGATAATTCCATACACATTTTAACCAGCTCCTTGGATCAGTGTGTTTCTGAACATGTCCACATCACCAAGACTTGAGGAGGGAGATGCAATTTTGATAGAGCTGAGAGGGAAACCCTAGATGTAGAGCAGAAAGACCTCTGATCGACATAGACAGGAGCAAGCTAAATCTGCATCGGTCACTTGGCATGTCCGGTGAGGCCTCTTCTCCCTTTCTTTCCATGAGAACGAATTGGTTTTAAAAGATAAACCACAGAAAGATAATTTAATTTAATTACCTTTTATTTTTATCACCTTGCTAGAGTATTCTTTAACTTTGCAAATAGAAATCTGAATAATTTGACCAAGGCTGTAATGATTTGTTGTCAGTAGATATGACTTGGGTATGTTCAAGAGCTTATTCAGAGTGGCCTGCTACCCTGCATCTGCTTTATTAATTTTCCTGAAATTAATTTTGGAAAGAATTTCAAAGTTACAGCAAATAGTAAAACAAGAACCCTACAATAGGAACATAACATTTCCTCACTGACTTTATATTGAAGATGAGAATCTGCAAGGGATTTAACTGTAGGAAGATGCACTTCTGAGTATTCTTTTAAAATATTTATTTATTATGTATACAGAGTTCTGTCTGCATGTATGCCTGCACAACAGAAGAGGGCACCAGATCTCATTACAGATGATTGTGAGCCACTGTGTGGTTGCTGGGAATTGAACTCAGGACCTCTTTGAAAAGCAGTCAGTGCTCTTAACCTCTAAGCCATTCCTCCAGCTTCCCAGTTCTGAGTATTTCAAAGTCAGTGCCTCTGAAGCTAGCTTTTCCACATTTGGCATATTTCAGGCCATTTTGAATGCCATTGGTACATGACGTAGATACCAAAATGTGAGTAAAGTCTTTTGTTAATTGCCATCAATGGCAAGCACAGAGTGGCCCCAAGATGGCTCTACATTTCAGTGTCCTTTATGGAAGCCAGCAGGAACCATTGAGAACAAACCCTACATGTTATCAGAGATAGAACACCTTTATAACAATTACCAGGGAGGTGAGCAAATGTTAGTTACCTGGCATTGCCAGGTATGTGCTCTTGTTAACACACCTGTGTGTGTGTGTGTGTGTGTGTGTGTGTGTGTGTGTGTGTGTGTGTGTGTGTGTGTGTGTGATTTAATATACATATTAGAAAGTACCAGGACATTTAAAAAATAAGTAGTCATAGGTTTTTAAGTAAACCCAAGGGATTATCTATATCTGAGAATTCTGGAAGGCAATCAATCACCTGCTTTGATTTGTGATTTATCGTTCAGCCAGAGAATATAACCATTTTGGGGGCAGTCTCATTTCAGAGAAAGAAAAGGCATATTGGCCAACTGCATTCTGATTTGATTTTGTGTTTAAATTATCTTTACCACCTAAAGTGTTCATGTGCAAAAACAGATTTCCCTCTGAACACCAAACTTGGAAGATTAAAGTACTTTAAAAAATGTTGCTAGCCAACCATCAGTTTTATTTTTCTTGATCAAATAAGTATATAACTACTTCAAACAGGGTTAATAAAACAGTGCTAATCCTAATGAAGTTGAACATGGTTAGCTGTGTTTATAAGGTAATGTTTTTATTTAGGTCATTGTCTATTATGTATATTTCTGAATGAAGGGAACTAGGGAAAAAAAAACTGCCCCCAACAATTGAATAAGCAAAGCCCTCGTCCAGGAACTGATAAACAGATGATACAATTATTTCCAGGACAAGCACAGGTGGGAACAATGCTTCCCTTTCCTCATTAGCCAGAAGTAAAAATAAATGTGTATAAGAGACTTGTAAGCTTTCTCAAGAAGAGACTTGGATATGGCTAAAGATGACATAATTTTGTAGCAATTGGAAATTACAGCCATAGCAAGCATCTTCAAGAGCTTGTGAAAATATTCCCCTGAACTACTTGAATTGATATGCCAATTACACCAGTGTCTGTTTCAATTGCTTGCGTGGGGAGAGGTGGTTTTCCCATTAGGGGGCCAGATAACTCTTAGTTAAATTCTGAAAGCATAAAATCTGAGTATTATGAGGTATTAGGAAAACCCTTCCCCATGTTAAAGGCAATGATTTATAAGGCATATAGTACATTCCTCAAGAGGAGATAAATGTTTTCTACATTTTAATTTAAAATTTATAATAATCTAATAGATAAATTCTCTACCTCATATTTTAAGAAATTCTCAATGTATTTCTGATGGACACAGCTGGAAGTTGAGGAATGGATCTCAGCTCATCTTGAACATGCAGGAATGCATTGGGTGGAAAGCCTATTTGGAGAAATCATTTGGATGACCCTAGAATAGCTTTCTTGGTACCACTGGCTTAAACTTCAAAGAGTAAACACTCCAGACATTCATGTAACAAGCACCCTAAGTACAGATGTAAGCCACACACATTTTTAGAATCAGTCTTCAAAGGCTTGGACACTCACTTAACAGAAACACGTAAGGACTCTGCTTAGCACCCTGGTCATGAACTCCCAGGAAGCATACACCTTAAACAAGTTCTTCTACATGCTCATGTTGACTACCCATGAAACTCTACCTTCCAAGAGACCCTCCTTTGCCAAAAATGGAGTATCTAGTGCGGCTACTTGTTTGGCTTCTGAAAAGCATGGTTTTCTTACAGATTATTCCAGATTCAGTTTCCTAGCCAACTACAAGCATCTAAGTAAGGTGAGCAAAACCATCACAGTCATTATCATCTGAATCTCATTTGGGTGACAATGTTAGTCACTGCTGTGACAATGTTGCCATTTTTAACATCCCAAAGCTCTCTGTTCTCATATAGCTGGTGTGGTTACTTCAGTTGAATACCTCTGGGAATGGATTCAGTTCTCACATTTTCCCAACATGCCAGCCAAGTGACACAGCCCTGTGAGCCAGCTACCTTCTGCTGCCAGCCATCTTTCAGAGAGTTCTTGGCATTCACGTTCAGGGGCAATTTATGAAGGGCTATGAGACCATTTGAGTTCATTTCTGAAACTGAAATGTTTGACACCCCTAATCACCATCTGTAGTTCCTACAGGAGATCCTTTTAAAAGAACCCATTAAAGTCAAGAGAAACATCTGGACTTCAGCAGTTTGTGTTTTTTTTTTTTTTCCTCCCTTTTCTGTGCAGGCCCCTGAAAGCCAGAGGATCTGATTCTCCTTGTATCATCTCAGTCTCCGTGATTCCCATTCACAAACGGCTCCAAGAATTATTTTCCACCTAGCAAAACCACCAATGTTAGGGTCCAAGTCATTGAAATAAACTTTTAACCCACTCTTTTCCTACAAAGTTCCTGTAAGATCCTTACAGATCTAGATGAGAAACTACAATTTTAATGTGTTTCCTTGAGGCCATTTCTGCTTTTTGAAGCCAGATGAGCATGGAAGAACTGCACTGGTTCACAAGGAACCCTTGAGCCTCAAAGCCAACCAGAAGTCTTAGAACAAAGGTAATAAACTACATTGTTGACCCTGGTTGCCCTTAAGTTCAAGACTATATATCAGTGGTTAAGACTGAAGCACCAATTAAGAGCTCAGTCATCAAGGGCTGTATGAACACAACTTTTGGATGAATTTTGGTAGACCTGTGTTCAAGGAAACAAAGAATCCTTAAATATCTACATGCTATATTTAAAGTTATGTAAGGAACTGTCTCTTTTATTCTGAACCACAAACGAAACAAGAGCTGAAATGTGAGAAGTGAAAGAGGTGTGAAGGACCGATAGCCATCCGGAAGAGGCAAAAAGTTCATAGAACACTGGGGGCACTGGGCCTCTACATTTCTAATCCATCCATGACTATTTCTATCTGCATAAAATCTACTTAAAAGTGAGATCACATAAGACCTGGGTATAAAAGAGGGAAAGAAATCCCAGAAAGACCCTTGAGTTAGTGACTAAGGGGGTGGTCCTTGTGAGAATCAAATGGGACAGTGATCAGACCTTGCTTTCTCTTTTCTTGGCTCCATTCATGAAGCTTTGTTCTGCCAAGAGGGGCCTAATGGAGACTCTTCCACGGTCTATCCTCTGCTGCCACCCCTGGGGAGCAGGACTACTCCTGTGAGTCTGAACTGTGTATGAGCAAGCAGTTGCCCAAAGCAGACTAAAGGTCATTTTGAATCTCTGCATGTTCAGGATTAGCACACCCCAGTGGTACCTAAACTCTGTTATCCTGTTATAAAGTTACCCTGAGCCCTGTGTAATTCAAATTACAGATTAAGAAACAAAAGAATCAGTATAGCTGACATTCTCCAGTCAGAATTGGGGGTTCTCAGAAAGACTCCAAAAGAGTCACATTGTGTCACATTAGCTGCTTGGGAATAACATGAAGCGGGGGGGGGGGGGGGATATTTGGTTACCACATGTTGAAGGAACATACATTCATTTCCTAAATTTCTAAGAAAGTCGGAGTCTGTTTAAGCAGTCTCCAACCACAAATTCTCTAAAACTTCTCTATTTCACTAATTTGAAAATAAGAAATTTGAAATAATGATACAAAATGTAAGAGAGGATGAAGCTATCAAAGAAAAGGCTCTAAATTTCTAGTCAGTTGGCTAATTCTTGTTGGAATGAACAGGAACAAGTGACAGGGAGGGAAACTCCCAGTCAGAGGGCATCCCCTTCTGTGTTCTTTGCTTCTGTGGTGATGGTGACAGAGCCCAGGGTTTCATGCACACCAGACCAGCGGTCTTCAGTGAAACAACTGCCGTGGCAGTTTTCATGACTTTAAGAAATATAGTTAAGTATATACGCTCTCAGAGGTAGGAAGACAGTCACACTCACGGCTGCAAGGGGTGGATGATAGCTTTGACTATCTTTTAAAAGTATGAAGTTTACAAATTTCCATGGGATAACCAAATTAGTTCTAAACAACTACTCCCAATAGAGCTGTTTTAACACATTACAGATTACCAGTAAATTGGATGAAATGACTTCATGATGGGAAAATGATGGGTATTTTTTTTTTCTATCTGTACTTCAGTCCAAGGAAACAAAGTATGAACAAGAGACTCATAGTGCATAATCTATTATTATATGAGTACTGCCCATTAGTGTCCAGATAAGCCTGTTTACTGATGTTACTACAGCTGAAAGTATCTTTTCTTCTGTCCATGGTGTTGAGATGAAAAAAAAAAAGTAAAGAAAGCCTTCATTATTTATCTTAAACAGCATCTTTCTTGGAGCCAAGCAAATGAGAGCTTCAGTCCAATGACTACCTGCTTACAACCCTGTCCCCCTCAGCCCCACCCCACAAGCTTTAGCTTGAGGTGGAAAGAGAAATGTTAACCTTGTGACTGGAAGCAGCCCTTTGTGTTTCAGAGTTCAGGAGAATCACTTCTGGGGGCCAAGCCTTGGATTGCTTATGGATGGGGCAGTCAGAGCAGCATTTAGGTTGCCTGTGCTGTGTTCAACCTCTCTTAATTTCTCAAATGGCCTAATTATATATGTGCTCTATATGACTTGAGAAGAAAAAGAATTGCTAATTTGTCAAAAGGCAAAATGCTGAATATATCTTGGTACTTTCCCGATTCTTCAGCTTGATATCCTTCGGGAGTGGGGGCATGGACCACTTCCTAAGGCATCACGGTGAGCAGCAAAGCACCTGTTACTGATAAAGAAAAGCCCCAGACTTCTACCAGCTTTCCTGACACTGCTTTGATGTCTCTAATGTCTCCAGTTTGTGTGCAGATTTTCTGACAAGTATTTGTTGGCTGCTTAGCGTTTTCTCTCCTGGGTTTATTCTCTACTAGTCAGAGACTGCTGGGACAAATTGCCACAAACTCAGTGACCCAAAACAAAAAAGATGAGGCCTAACACAGGCCTGGAGGTCAGGAATTCATATTTACACAAGGCTGTACTTCCAAAGGCCAGTTTAAGAGGGGATCAGTCCCTGCATTTTCTAGAGACTGGTGTTTACCCTGGCACTCTGCTATGTGAGTATGTTCTCCAGTCTTTCTGGACTCACAGTGTCCTTTCCTCAGAGTCTCTCATAGGGATACTTGAGTTTTGGATTTAGAACTTACCCTTATCATCTAAGATGATCTTGTCACTCCCCCCACCCCATGATTCTTACTGAAAAAGCATGGATTCATTCATTCTATCTTCAAGTAGCAACTGAGCTTGGACTTTGTGCTCTATGTTATTCTAGGTGTTGGAAACACAGGTGGCTGACTTGATGAGTATGACCAGGGTAGATAAATGGGTACCGCAGGGGGTCCCTATATTTAGCTTAACACCCTGTTGTTGCTACCTAAAAATAGTTCACTTTTAGTTCATTTTTAAGCAAGTGTTCCCATTTGAATATGGCACAGGGCCTAAAAACAGAGGTAGCCTTTCCTGAATGGCACAGTTAACAATGCAGGAAGGGTTCTCATTCACACGGGATTGTCAAATGCCCTCATAGTTGACATTTTACAACAGTGCTTCTGCTATAAATACATGACACTAGGCTCTTTGGATCCCAAATATAAGGTTATTCAGTGGAATACATACATTCTAAAAAGAAATAAAGAAAGAAAAGAGGAAAACAGACTTTTTTTTTATTAAATCTATCTTTTGACTGTTCATGTCAATCTTCCGCTCTGAATTTCTGGGCAATGTCTCTCAAACACAATCAGAAATTTTGTATCTGTGTATTTTTTCTCTATTAATAGGGCTGTCCTTGAACTCCTGGTTTGAAGTGTACTCCTGCTTCAGCCTCTACTACAGGCAACACAGGCATTTAATTTTCTTTTAAAATGAAAGCTTTTTAGTCAATGGCCATTGGGCACTTTGTCTCTTCATAGACATTAATTTCAGCATTTGGAAAGAGGCAAGGACTTAGGCATCTTGTCAACTAAAACAATATTTGGAGAGAAAAATACATTTCAAGCCCAATCTTGGACAGCTTTTCCAAAAAAGAAAAGATTTTATAATATTGATACTTCAGGAAAAAAAAAGGCTTCTTGGCAAGGTTTTCTTTGTCAAGTATTACTGCCTTGATAAGACTGGGGAGTGTCAGATATGAATGGGATCTGGTACCTGAAATCCACACAGTTCCTGAGAAACCTGTTTCTAACATGGAATAAACACCCCAAAATTATATTAAATTATAGTTAAAATTCCATGTCACTACTAAAAGGAATGAACTCAGAACTGTGGTGGCAGCATACATTTAACATAGTTCAGTTAAGGATTTGTACCCCAAAGTACAAGTTGTTGCTTTTCTTTCCATCCCTAGATTAGTCACACTAGATATATAGCCACTTTTAATAGCATTGTGCCATTACCAGTGACTTTAATTACTGTTTGGTAATCTTATCTACTTACACCAATATTAATTAAATCCATCTGGGTAAGGGCAGGTTGGGGGGTGTTCCAAAATATGCTGATTGACAAAAGCAAATCCCAATCTTTACTGTGGCTTATTTTCTCAGACCCTTCTTTGCTGAGACAAGGAATTGACCGTGACAATAATTCTACAAGGTAATTCTAAGGAACTTAATTTCTCAGTCTGCTTCAGTGCCTACTGTTGTAATCAACTGACTCCCCAGTAGAAACATCCCTTTCTCCTTTCATGATGCTGTCACTGCCAGGGCTTCCTAACATATCTTCAAATTTCAATTTGTACTCAGAATCAGTAGGGAAAGTTTTAGAGACACTCCATGAGACAGCAGCCGTGGTGGTTAAGTTAGGCAGCAGGGAGGCACCGCGCATGCGCATGGAATTGAGCGTGCCATTACCCGCACTCCCATGAACCTGTCTTTCAGCACAATCCAGGAGAGCAAGAAGACAAAGGCTTTGTTGCAACAGAACAGAGCAGAGACATCGGTGGCCGTCAGCTTCTTTAAAGCCAGTAAATACAGGTAATTTGTCAAAGTCCATAGAATAGAAAAAGGAGCAGTTCTTTTCAGAAAGAGCTTCAGTGTCAGGCCATCTTCACCAAAAATTCGACTGCATTCCCTAGGAAAGAAAAACAGGGTAAGACACAGGTGCTTATCTTGTCTGGCTGACTCTGTGCCCATTGTTAGGCAAGAGTACAAACACTGTGGTCCATCAACTTGGGCTCTCTAGAATGCGCTTTGTCAGTTTTGCCACCTGTGAGCTTCCGGAAGTACATGGGGGTCCTTGGGAAGAGCCCACAGCTGCTCAGCACAGAGCAGGACCCTCTCCCATCATAGTCTCCTGAGATGGCCAGTCATTCTGTTGCTTTTGAAGATTCTCAGAGAAGCCTGGAGAAATTTGTCTCCAAAGCCATTAGCTACGGACAAAGCTTGAAGCTTCCCACGTACAAAGGCAACATGACAGAGATGGCTGCTGTAGGGTCATTGGGCTGCAGATGTCTCCCAGAATCCTGCCAACTGGGAGCTTCCTCGAATGTCGGTGAAGCCACACACACCTTGGGGTTTAGTTATTTCGGAGATACTGCTTCTTTCTAAAATGTCTATTTAGTGACAGAGTTCTGCCAGTTTCCTTAAGGCAGAAAAATGAAGACCATTTCTTGATAATTTATTTAAATTCAATTATTTAATGTTTTTAATTTAAAAAGTAAAGTATAAAATTGAGGTTCAGTAAGTACTGTTCATTTTGGATGACTCGTTTAGAATTTAGTATATGAAGATAGTCACTTCCTTCAATGAAATCTTTGATTTGTTGAATTATGATTAAATTGGCTACTTATCTTTTAGAGCCATTGTAACTGACATGTTCGAGCTAGCGGCATAGGCAGTAACCGCAGTGGTATGATGACAGTGCCTTTGCCACTGAGGCTTGAAAAGACTCCCTTTGTGAGATTACTTTATTTGCAATCACAAACCCAAACACGCAGTATTTACTCGACAATTGTCATTTGCCAACATGGTAGTTTTAAAAGTAGTATAAATATCTTGTTCAAAGCAACAATCTACTAATATTTGAGCATGTTTATAGTAGAATGCATTTCTATGACTCCAGACAGCACAAATACTAGTTTAGCTTTAACGGAAGAGAGATCATTGTCCTGCAAATTCAAGTGATTTCTAGCCAGGGTGTGCCTCACTAAACGAAGCAGCATCCCTTCCAGGAGAAATGAAACAGCAACAAGGTCTCTAAGCATAGGGAACAGAGCTGCAAATGGAGTCCCATGGTGATCTCTGCTTTCAAGCTACTAAGGATGCTGGGGGTTCAGGAAGGCCAACACACACACACACACACACACACACACACACACACACACACCCTTGTCCTGTGGGTTGGCTTTCTTGTGAGACAGATCCCCCTCAAGCTGGGAGTTTTCATAAAAGGAAAACGAAATTTCCCAAAGGGAAGTTTTAACTTGACAGAGACATGACTTTAAGGAAGGAAATCAATACCCTAAAGATAAAGCCTTGGGTAAAGCACACAGAAGTCTCACATATCACACAGAAAAAAGAAGGGCTCTCAGCCACCTGTGCTAGCAAGAGGCAGCTTCGAACAGAGGCTGAGCTGCAGTGTTTCCAGACTGTCCCAGATGCAAGGTTTGCTCTTGGTAGGGTAGGAAATTTGCCTGGTCAGAAAGTAAGAGGAATCGAGAGTCCCGCGCTTGTTATCTTATCCGTAACCAATGGAAGCCTTTGTAAATACACACTTACTGAAAAGCATGAAGAAACCCATTTCTCATTAAACCTGTTCTCTCTTCTTATCCCCGGAGACCAGAGTCTTGGGTTGAGAGTCTCAAGTAAAGCCAGCAGGGCAGGGAAGAAACACTATTCTACAGGGATCGTGACAGAGGCTCATGGGCAAAGTGGCCAGCAAGGCTGATTCCCTGCAGAGGCTGTTTTCTAGCTGGTCTTGTCCCCAGGATAGTCTGTCTCCCTTCTTCCCCTTTTCTATCTACCCTCCTCTCATTGCTGTCTAGCTCAACATACGTAGCTACTGTTGTAGACATTAAAAATCGTCCTCCAATCCCTCCTATACCCAAATGCTAGGTGACCCGTGTAAGACTATATGCACTGCAAGCATGAGGTACTGGCAAAAGTGAACACTCAAAGAAAGGATGCTCACTCAGAAGCAGCAAGCAGTGTGCCTCTCTTTGGGATGGTGGTGAATAATTTCTGGATAAGAGGCACTGACAGGTGGCAAAGCTTGGAATGAAGCTAGAAGCCGGGGGAAATAATGAATTAATTATGCTCTCCCATATAGTAGCAGCTACTTATCCTTTTTGTATGCCAAATGGTCCTTTAAGTGTATTTCATCAGAGACTGCTGTAGCTTTGACTCTAACTCATTGTTTCTAGAGATATTTTTTTCCCACTAATGAAGCATCCTTATTAAAACTGTAGTGAATACCTTTTTTTCTCTGCAAATTTCAAATGCACCCGGGGCACTTGAATTCTGGCAGTGTTTAATTGGAACAACGGATTCATCAAAGTCCACTTCTAAGGGGACGTGTTTTATCACCTAGATTTGATACTTTATTGAAAATTCCTTTGATGTTAGTGATAAGGAAAAAAAAACATGAAATTCTTCCATGCTGCTCTGGAGAAAAAATACTGGGAGATCTAGTGCTGTGGGAGAATTCTGCTTTCTGTCTTCCACACTAACTCATCTCACCCTGTTCAGCCTTGAAAGCCTTGGGAGAGCCTTCTTAGCAGATGGTGTTAATGAGTCTGCAGGGAAAAAAAGTTCAAAGAGCTAAGAGTTTTCTAACAATGTTCAGCTCTCACTGTTTTTGCTAGAGAATAGCCCTCTCAAAGACAATGTTCTCTGCTTCACAGTAAAAGTCCTTGATTCCGTTTCAGAAACATCCATCTTCACTCTACCTACACTAGCAGGTGGAGGCATCTCCTTCAGGCACAGACTCAGCAAAGCTCACAGGCAGCCCAATGCCAGGGATATGGAGAGATGCAGCTCACTCTCCCAGCAGCGTTTCAGCCTGCTGTAAATGTGTTATCTGGGATAAAGCAGGGTGGCTTGCTTGAAAGTGCTCTTAAGTTGCTCTCCTTCCTCTAAACTTTCTAAATTGTTTCTATCACATGTGTATCTAAAGCACAGGCACTTTTGGGAAGAGCACATATACTATCTGGCACATACAACTTTTCAAATACAACAATTACAGTTTGGCAATCATACTTCCTTGGTATTTTTTTAAATGCCATCATTAAAAAAAATCATGTTCCAAATGCCCAAGTTCATGCCTTTAATCCCAACACTCAGGAGGCAGAGGCAGAGGCAGAGGCAGAGG